ATAAAACCTTTATGTGAAACCCGATGAACAGAACAGAGTGTCCACAATGTAAAAAGTAATTAATGAACTGAATTTTAGAGCTAAGAAATTAGTCAAAACACAGACCAGAGAGACAAAGACAATTGCACCTGAAGAAACATTAAGATATGGGCATGGGTAAGCATTGGGCTAGTGGTTAGGTCAGTTATGGCTTTTCATGTTACAATATCTGGGTTCAATACCTGGTTACAGCTCTAGTCTCCAGTTTCCTCCGAAGGTAAACCGCAGGAATCAGGAAATAACTCGAGTAACTGGGTTCTTGGGTTGAGTTCCTGGATCCTAACCTTCCATGGGACTACTCGAGGCTCTAGAGATCCAGCAGGTGTGATATGCCTCTCATCTTTTTCTCTATCTTTATTTATTTTATCTCTGTCTCTTTTTCTCTGAATCTTTTTCCCAAGTGAAGAACTATCTTTTTAAAATGATACATATCAATGGAGTAGGAAGGAACTACATGTGTATTTCAAATTTGGGATATAAGGAATGAGGAGAAAATGCAGTGAAATGGAAATTGGCAATCTCAGAATATGTATGTGGGATTGTTAATTTTAGACTGGATTAAAAGTGCAAAACTGTAATGCATATGAGCAAAACTGACATTTTGGGTATTTGGTTAAATTTTTAAATTTAAAAGAAAAATACAAAAGATAGGAGGAAGAAGACTATGCAGGGGAGGGAGGAAGGAAGGGAAGATAGGATGAGAAGTACCATTATGTTCTAAAAGCTATGTAAGTTCATAAGCTTTTTCCTATAAGATAAGTAAAAAAACTATATAAAAAAGAAATATTGGGCCCGGCGCGGTGGCGCAAGTGGTTAAAGTCCTCGCCTTGCACGCCCGGGATCTCATATGGGCGCCGGTTCTAATCCCGGCAGCCCCGCTTCCCTTCCAGCTCCCTGCCTGTGGCCTGGGAAAGCAGTCGAGGACGGCCCAAAGCTTTGGGACCCTGCACCCGTGTGGGAGACCCGGAAGAGGCTCCTGGCTTCGGATCGGCATAGTATCGGCCTTTGCGCTCACTTGGGGAGTGAATCATCGGACGGAAGATCTTCCTCTCTGTCTCTCCTCTCTGTATATCCGCCTTTCCAATGAAAAAATAATAAAAATAAATCCTTAAAAAAAAAAAAGAAATATTTAGGGCCTGGTGAGATAGCAGTGGCTAAAGTCCTCATCTTGAACACTCCAGGATCCCATATGGGCACCGATTCTAATCCCAGTGGCCCTGCTTCCCATCCAGCTCCCTGCTTGTGACCTGGGAAAGAAGTTGAGGACGGCCCAAAGCTTTGGGACCCTGTACCTGCGTGGGAGACCTGGAAGAGGTTACGGGCTCCTGGCTTCGGATTGGTTCAGCTGCCACCATTGTGGTCACTTGGGGTGTGAATCATCGAATGGAAGGTCTTCCTCTCTGTCTCTCCTCCTCTCTGTGTATCTGCCTTTCCAATAAAAACAAATAAATCTTTTTTTAAAAAGAGAAATATTTAGAATTCTGGGAAATCATTATTATGAACATTTTCAAGGGAGATTAGTTTGTGAGTATGAATGGACTAAGGAGGGAAAATCCAACATTTTATGAGTGGGCCTTCCTGCTGATTGTCTGGTTTCAGGCACAAAAAATGCAGAGACTGATGGTGCCTTTGGCTGTGAGCTGGCAAACATTTCTCTTTTGCCTTCGGCATCAGAATCCTAGGCTTGTCGGCCTTTGTCTCCAGGATTTACACCACAACTCATGCGCCAACTCTGGCTCCCAGCCTTAAACTGAGTGTTTCCTCCTTGGTTTCTCTGGTGCTGTGGGTTTGTAGTGAGCCACTCTGCTGGCGTTTCAGGATTCCCAGCCTGCTTGTTACCTGCTGTGAGACAGCTTGGCTGCCATAATCAGGTAAGCAAATTGAATGCATTTTTATGTATCTGTGTCCTACCCAATCATCTTGTCTCCATAAAACACTGATAGAATGAAAAGTTATTGCAACAAAGACATCTTTCTAAAGAAAATACATTGAAAATAAATCATTCATTTTAGTCTATCTTGAAACACATGGGGGACTAAAGGAAAGTGAGCTTACACCGTCAAAGGCTAGCCGCAAGGCATTTTCTTTGAATTCCGTTTTATAAGAAAGGAGAGTGATATGAGGAGTGTGCCATGCAATTACACACAAAAGGATTATTAAAAAAATGCATGATGGTTCACTACACTGACCCTTTCATTAAAAGGAGTTACAGTGTATACATTTTGTAGAAGGGAAAATGTTCCAAGAAAGAATGAGTAAAATTCATGTTGGAGTTAACCAGGAGTAATTTGATAGTCCTATCTATCAATGTAGATATTACATTTAAAAAAGCAAGCCCGGGGATGACCACTGTGGCAAAGTGGGTAAGTCACGACTTCTGATGGCCTCATCCCATCTGTGTGTGTGTATGCTTCTGTGTGTATCTAGTGCATGCTTTTATTGAATCATATGAACTGAAAGAATAACTACCACCACTGTTACACTTGTGTGGATCACCACCATGATCCTAGAGAGAAAGACTGTTTGGGTTTCATATTTAGCAATGGTATTTATTTATTTTTAATCGGAGATTGCAAATTAAAGATCATTGTTCAACTTCTAATTTGGTTTTAACTATGGAGAGGGACTTTGGGGGAAAGTGTTTCCCCAAGGTCATTACTGTTTCACGTTATTCTCTTTAAATAGACCTTGTGTGAAGTTAAGAAACAGCTTTTATTGTTGAAGGATCGGTCGATCATAAGCTTAGTAAGTAAGAAAATCAGGAATAAGGAATACAGATTCCTACCAGCTTGTGACTTGTGGGAACCAAGGATTCTTTATTGCTGTTCTCTTTGAAGCAGTTCTTCCCATGTCGTGTTATTGTTTCTTTGGACACCAGCACTCAAGTCACGCCCAGAAAAGAGGACACAAAACAGTCTCAAGCCCTGGAAAATCCTGGTGAGGCTTTAGTTCTTCTGAAACTAGCACAGAATGAACATTTTTGAGATTTGTAGTTTATAACCCTTGTCTACACTCCTTAGGAATAGTAATTGTTCTACTTGCCAGATATCAAATTATTTTTTTAATGCTGGATAATTGAAAACATGCAATTGCAAAGATAATATTATTTCTCTATATATCACCGAGATAACAGAAAAAGAATGAATAAGAAATGTCAAACCAATCATTTCAGAGACAGGAAGGTTTTATCATCCTGGAACGCTCAAGCGGGGGTAGGATCCTGGAGATGGGTCATGGTTTGAGGAGCGATGTTTCATCCGGGTTCCTGCTGTATGATATAGAAGAGCAGTTCTGACTCTTGTCACCGCCTCTGTTTCTTCCAGATGAAAATCAGAGACAAAACAAAATAAAACAAAACAAAACAACAACAACAAAAACCTGGAATAGCAGTTCCCCAAAACTGCCATGATTTGAACACTCTTAAATTGTAAGGTTTTTTCTTAGTAGAGAACATACATAAATCTAACAGGGAAACCAAGCGGAATGACCGAATGTGCATGTAAAGCAGGGCATGTGCATAAGCATAGTTAAATATAACAATTTATCACTAGAATTCCATTTGTTAATATTGTGTTCTTTTATAATGTCCAAGGTAAGATCTATACTCACAGCTCTACCAATTTTAATACGCAGAGATGAAGAACCATAACTCTGTAATTGTCCAAAGCATGGAAGTCCCTCCTTTGTTGTTGATGTGAGCAGCTAGCTCTTCTGGTAGCTCAGTTGTTTGAGGGAAAACTGAAAACTCCATGATTGAAACTATCCCACATGCCTCTTGCCACACAAAATACCAGCGACTCCAATGTAACTAAATTTTCATACATTTAGATAAATGTACTTTTGTTCAAATAACTCCTTTTGATTGATCTCTTCCAGACATGTGTAATATACACAATTCAGTAAAATACCATACAGAATAAAACATGAATAATTAGAATGATGATAAAAGAAAGAAAAGATTAAAAAGGCAGAAATTTCTCCCTTTTCCCTATACTTGTTTTTCAGTTGCCAGAAAAAAAGTTTACAATACCATGACTAAGTAAATCCTAGTGAAGCTTCAAGAAATTTGAGTTTGAAGATGGAGGAGTCCCGGGGGCCACCCTGTCTCCCTTTAAAATCAAACTGATTTTGCATTTTCTCCTAAAATTTCTTGCACAGATTGCCTTATTTTCAATCCCTTGCACTATCAAGGCATTCTGGCTATTCCAAGCTGGTAGAAGTGATTTGATTTCCTGGTTGAAATACAAGTTAAGATCACAGATGATAGTGAAATTGGAACTTTATTATTTTCCAAATAGGGTAAAGGAAGCTATGTGCAGCTTAATTATTCACCAGAATTTCAACACCATCGTTTCAGAATCAGGTTTTGGAAACATTTGGTCTTACATCTGTTCTACTCCATGATCTTTTGATTGTTGTTCTAGTTAGCAAGAGGTGAACTCATTAGCACAAACATTTGAGTTACACTCAAAAGAGAATTTGCAGTCTCACTTATCTGAGCACACATACACCAATGTGATAATCAGCCATGGCAGTATTTATTGTGCATGTTTTCACATCTAGTCCAAAAATATTGCCAGATGTAAAATTCCTTTTCCATTTATAAAAATTGAAAAAATGAGTAATTCATGCTAGGAGAGCAAAGTGAATTTTAGAAACAGACAAATCAAGCTTTATCAAAGGTGAACCACTTGGTAGCTTGAGAGAATTTGGTCTTTCCTTATGGACTTGCCTCCTCATCTGAAATGAATAAATGCAATGCTTTATTAAGGCAAAAAGATAATAGTTACATTTTACTGTCTTTGAAGTATGCTTGTCAGTTTTCATTAAGTCTATTTTATTTTATTTTCAGATATTACTATCATCCATTGTTTATGACTTAGAAATGCTCTAGTGTGTTTACTGTTTCTTTCAGGTTCTGAACTGCTTTTTGAGAACTTGGTCTTGAGTGGGTTCATGCTATGGGAGTACGAAACAACGTAACTGAATTTATTTTCTGGGGACTTTCCCAGGATCCAGAAGTTGAAGAAGTGTGTTTCGTGGTGTTTTCTTTCTTCTACACGGTCATTCTACTGGGGAACCTCCTCATCATGCTGACGGTTTGCCTGGGCAACCTGTTCAAGTCTCCGATGTATTTCTTCCTCAACTACTTGTCTTTTGTGGACATTTGCTACTCTTCAGTCACTGCTCCTAAGATGATTGCTGACCTGTTAACAAAGAGAAAAACAATCTCCTATGTGGGGTGCATGTTGCAACTATTTGGTGTCCATTTCTTTGGTTGCACTGAGATTTTCATCCTTACTGTAATGGCCTATGATCGTTATGTAGCTATCTGTAAACCACTTCACTACATGGCCATCATGGACCGGGAAAGATGCAATAAGATGTTGCTGGGGACATGGGTAGGTGGATTTGTACATTCCTTTATCCAGGTGGCTCTGGTGGTCCAGTTACCCTTCTGTGGACCCAATGAGATCGATCACTACTTCTGTGATGTCCACCCTGTGTTGAAGCTTGCCTGTACAGACACATACACTGTTGGTGTAGTGGTGACTGCCAACAGTGGCACTATTGCTTTGGGGAGCTTTGTCATCTTGCTAATCTCCTATACTGTCATCCTGGTGTCCCTGAGGAAGCAGTCAGCAGAGGGCAGGCGGAAGGCCCTTTCCACCTGTGGCTCCCATGTTGCTGTGGTCATCCTCTTTTTTGGTCCCTGTACTTTTATGTACATGCGGCCTGACACCACCTTCTCAGAGGATAAGATGGTGGCTGTATTTTATACCATTATTACCCCTATGTTAAATCCTCTGATTTATACTCTGAGAAATGTGGAAGTAAAGAATGCGATGAAGAAAATATGGAGAAGTATATTCTTGCAAATCAAAGTAAATAGTTAACAGTAATGTTTTAAGCTGGATAGCCTTACATGTTAGTCCTGGTTGATTCATTTGGATGACAGATAGCTGATAATATCATATGATTCATGAGAATGTCAGAGGCTAACATTCTGAAGATGAATGTATTATTTTCATATTCGTATTAATGTTTCATAAAAAGAAAACAAGTTTCTTGATATATACAGAAGAAAAATCTTAATAAACCCAGTATCTGATTAAGCTCACATTCAGCATTGTTATATTTTATTCTGCTCCCTTTTGCCATTTTCTTTAAAGATTTAATGTCACTTACAAAGTACTTATTTTTAGGATGTGGAGCTGTAATTGAGACATATTAAGCCATCGATATGTTTATGTCATGCAAATAATTGAACATATGAAAAACGACATTATGGAGTGTATGCATTTTGAGTGAAATCAACCAGACACAGGAAAGGATAAATTCACTGATATTCATTTGTATTCATACACGGGTCTTGGCATAAAGCTTTACCACTCATTCTCTTTACCAAATCAATAGAAATTTCATTATTCTAAGATCTCAGTAATGTCCTCTTGTTCTTGACATAAACTCATTTCTTCTCTTATCTCAGTTTATCCTGATGACAAGCTTCTCTTTCTTCAGGAATCATGTTTTTCTGATTTTTACTTCCTGTCGTAAGTAGACATATCAGTAATAATCATTACACTGTGGTTTCACGACTCAAAAGATCCAGGGTCCTGCCTAAGCCTGCATTCATCTCTCTCTCTTTCTCTCTCTGTGTAGATGTTACTCACCATAAAGATGGGTTAAAGCACCCAAAACTTGACATCTTGAATACACATCCACAATGCATCCACAACATGAAAGGCTGAGAGATGAAAAGGGGTATGAATTAGAAGATGCATCTGAGATATGAGTCCTGCCTTGAAATTCTAGATATATCTATTTTTTGTCTTGTCTTGGGCATACACACACTCACTGGCTTCCACAGGCCTTTATTTGCTTTATTTTAATATGAGGTATAAGATCAAGGCTTCAAATCCTTGGAAGATCATTAGAATAACTCTAACTTTTGTTTTTACACCCAACACAGCATATTTTACGAGCTTTCTATCAAGTAAGCCAATTGTATTTTTTTAAAGATTCATTCATTTTTATTGGAAAGGCAGATATACAAAGAGGAGGAGAAACAGAGAGGAAGATCTTCTTTCCGATGGGTCACTCCCCAAATGAGCGCAAAGATTGGAGCTGAGCCAATTCAAAGCCAAGAGCCCGTAACCTCTTCCAGGTCTCCCAAGCAGGTACAGGGTCCCAAGGCTTTGGGCCATCCTCAACTGCTTTCCCAGGCCACAAGCAGGTAGCTGGATGGGAAGCAGGGCCACCGGGATTAGAACTGGTGCCCATATGGGATCTTGAGGAGCATAAGAAGATTCTGGACAAGCAATGAATGTGAGGAGTGCAAGAATTGTTCATAAATTAATCAGACTTCACATTTCTATAGTATAATGTAATTTGAAAAGAACAGGGGTTTGTTAAGATAACCTATGTGTGTAAGAGGGCAAAGAGAAATGGCATTTTTTTTGTTTGTTTTTTGTTTTGTGGAGTTTAAAGAGGGAAAGAATGTAGAAGCAAATCTGACCAGCAAAAGTGTATCTAAAGTGTTTCTTCTGTTCAATAACATCATCCAGGAGTGGAGGGGGCCTCAACCCTTCCCTGAGGTCAGCTTAGAGCTCAGCTTAGGGACATTTTTCCTACTCTACAACCAAAGAGTTTTAGGTTTGTTAGGAATAATGAGACACGCAGATTCAGGAAGTTCTCCAACAGCCAAAAATGAGAGAAGGCATGAGGAGAAACACAGATGGACATACATGTAAAATTCCACTCTGAATATAGATTTTCTATATAATATTATTTATATAGGTAAAGAATACCTATTTTATCACCCAGTTTTCCTTCCCACCATAACCAGTTTCCCTTCCATTGTAGGGTGAAATTGACATAGTATTAACCATATAATTACATTGGGGTAGGTAGTTAGAATTTCCTTCTTAAGCATTCTCAAAGAGTTTTATTTAGCAAATAGTTGTACATCTTTTTTAGGAAACTCAACCTAGGAACTCAACCCTCTCTTTTTCTTAAGTAAAAGCAATCTAAGTATTTGAGATAGCTCTCAGAGTACATATGACCAGAAAGCTGGATCTGAGGTAGTTCAGGTGGGACTTGAACCAAAACACTCCAGTACGGCTTGTGTTTACCTTAAGAGATGACTTAAGCGTGTGTGACACATCCTCTCCCCATTTAGGAGCTTGACTGGGAAGTTGTAGGGTTTTAATCAACCCCGGTAGTATTATCTAAGTCAAGAAGATGAAGAATAGCGCTCTGTCTGAATTCCAGTGCTCATTTTCAATAAACCTGCTGTTGATGCATGGCGCCAATTACAAGTTATTTATTTATTAGGAAACCTTAGCTTCTTTTTCCCCCCCCAAGAAGGTAAAGCTTTCTGAAGTCTGTATGAACATGGCTCATAGTTATCCCTTGCTGGCTGTTATCTTACAATTTATTTGCAAGTAGGCGATGAAAGGAAATGTTAGTGCTGGCATTTTGTCCCTTTCTTCCGGGGTGTGAATCTTGGATGATACAATAGGTGTGTCTTGCTGTACTCTTAGGTATTATAGATTTGTCCACTTATGCCAAGATTAGGCGCTTTCCCTCGTGTCCATGTTCTGCAGTATTCAGGCCAATATCCTTGTCTTGTCTGAATATTTCACTCAACATGATGTTCTCCATGGGCATCCATTTTGACGCAGAAGATAAAATTCCATTCTTGTTCATAGTTGAAGAGTGTTCTGTTGTATAGATACAGCTGCTGTGCTTTGTTCATTTATTTGGACACCTTGGCTATTTGCTTGTTTTGATTATTTTGAACAGTACTTCTACATGTAGGTGTTGCTTTGATACAACTCATTCATACTTTTGGGTACATACCCAGAAGCAAGATTGCTAGATTGTATGAACACCTGTTTCTAGTTTTTAAGTAAATCTCCTATTACACTTTTTTTCCTTTTAAGATATGTCTATTGATGCCTTTTGCTAATTTCTCATTTGAGTTGCTAGTGTGGTTTGATGCTTGAAAATAAGCTCTGTAAGTCACATTGGTAGATTGAAGAACCAAAATTGTAGGGTCATCTCAAAAGATGTAGAGAAAGTATTTCACACTGCTTCATGATAGAATCCCTCCAAAAAGCTAGGCATAGAAAGAAAATATGTAAAAATTATACAAGTTTTGTATGACAAAGCCCTTGGTCAATATCCTACTGAAAGAGAAAATGCTGAAAACATTTACCCTGTGATCTGAACAGAATCAGAATGAACACTTTTAACACTCTTAGTGCTGTATCGCAAATATTGGAGGAACAATCAAGGAAGAGAAAGAAATAAGTGGAATCTGAACTCAAAAAAAAAAGGAAATCAAAACATGTATTTTTGTAGATGATTGGAGATTGTTCCAAGAAAAAAAAAATATGCTGTTGGGTGAAATGTCCTATAAATGACTGTTAGGTACACTTGCAACCAAGATTGAACTGGTGCCCATTTGGAAAGCCATTGCTGAAGACAACGGCTTAGCCTGCGGTGTCATTATGCCAGCTCCAACATCTCTTAGTTTCAGTCATTTATTTCACAACCATAATAGTCATATACCTTTGATACTAGCAAGCATAATTGTTAGAATGCAAAGGAATCCTAAATATTCCTCCAAAAGAGAAGGTATCAAACAGACTGAAACAATTAAAACCAGGCAAAAAATATAAGTAATTTCCCCTGGGGGGAATAACAGAGGGCTCCTTTTGATGAGTGGATTTTTATCATAATGTTCTCATCCTGCTCTGTAAGGATTTGTTAAGGACCTGGGATCTTACTGCTGCTCATGCAGTGATGTGAACAGGGTTGGGGAAGGGAGGGATAGTTAAAGGAGAGAACAAGAAATGAGACACACAAGATAAAGATTATGAAAGCATTGCAGCCAGAGGAGAGACCCCTCTCTAAGTAGGGAGGCATACCCAGAGGGCTTACTGCTTCTCCCTTTTATTGAAGTGTTTGGAAAGTTAAATTGCAGTAATTGAGGTAGCACAAGTTTTGAGAAACTATGTTCCACATTGATATTCACCAGCAAATACTTGGTGATCAGGAAGCAACAGTAGAGCCCAAGGACAGAAGTGAGTACATGACCATCATTATAGCACACACGGTTCTGTGGCCGTGGACCACTGCCCAACTGCAGACCCTTGTCCACAGTCCCCATCATGGTTTTGGACACTTGCCCACAGACCACTGCCTGTGCAGTTTGACCTCAGTCTCTAACACCAAAAGTCTGTGACTCAAAATTCCAGGTGCATTGTGTCATGCTCTTTCTTATCCAGTCAAGCTCGGATGTTATTTTATTTTTTATACCTTGCCTACCAAAGAGTAAAATCTCAATAATCAAAGAGAAACTGAAATTCCATAGCTTTATATTCAAGTAAATAAGCATGCACTCACATTATACATACACACACACACGGACTACTTCCTCAAATTCTTGGATCTGATTCTTTCAATGAAGTCAGGAATAACTCCTAACTTGAAGGTTTATAATGAAATGATGAACCAAATATCTGTAAGTTACACATGTTCTTCCTGATATGTGGTTGCTTCAAGAAAAATCATTCTGAACACAGCATATTGGTTACCAGAGGCTGGGAGAGGTGGGAAGGATAGAAGGAATTTAGAATAATAAATGGGGGAAGCTGACTGTGCTTCATCAAGTGACACAAATATGAACAGAAATAATGAAAGGAAAACCTTCTGTCACTGATAGAGTATGAAATAGAACCTACTAACCAACAGCATAACAATAGGGGAAACTGAATATGGGGGAATATCAGAACTCTGCAGTACCTCACGACTTCTGTAAGTTTAAGGTTTTGCTGAAATTATAAAGAAAAATAGTTTTGTTGATTGAATGTTTAAAAGGAACACACATACTCAAAGAGCTTTGAGATAAAAATGCACTTTCTGAATTAGATCAATGATAAGAAAAAGTATTAACTTGTCATAGGAGTTACAAAAACTTTGGCAAAGCAGAAATGTGAGCACATAGCAAGGTAACTAGTAAGAATGAAAGGCGCCGGGATCCCATATAGGCACCTGTACTAGTACCTGTTCTAATCCTGGGGGCCTGCTTTCCATCCAGCTCCCTGCTTGTGACATGGGAAAGCAGCTGAGGACAGCCCAAAGACTTGGGACCCTGTACCCATGTGGGAGACCTAGAAGAGGTTCCGGGCTCCTGAATTTGGATTGGCTCAGCTCTGACTGTTGCGGCCACTTGGGCAGTAAATCAATGGATGGAAGTTCTTCCTCTCTGTCTCTCCTCCTCTCTGTATATCTGACTTTCCAATATAAAAGAAATAAATCTTCAAGAAAAATGGCATACTCTATTGAGCTCTAGCATCATTCCAAACTGTGACTGACTTCTTGTTTCACAGCTTTTTTTTTTTAACCTCTGTATTATTTCTCAGTGTGTAAATCAGAGGATTGAGCAATGGTATTCCAAGTATAAAACATTACTCTCTCTTTCATGTGATTTGGTTCCTTCTACCCACATAAGTTAATTGAATTGAGTTTCTGCTTCCTGAATTCAGCAGAGGCCAAATCCTGGCCCAATCAATGCACATGGGGAAGTAGCCTATGTGGGCTTTCTCCCTTCCCTTTCTCTCCATATGTCTGTCTCTCCTAAACAGTGGGTCATTAAGTGACAAAGAAAGGGTTATATTTGAATATGTCAAGCCTCACTCTAAGGTGTAATTTCTTGGATTCATAAACTATGACATGACAACAGAGAGTTTTGGAATTAATTTTACTTAGACATTACTTAGAACTCTGTCCTTGCCTTTGGCTCATACAGCAAGAAAGGAAAAGTGCATTCCCCAGGGGATATGATTAAATGTGATCAATTACTTCTAGCATAATCTCTGGGCCTTCAAGGCTGATGCAACACTTTAATTATTTTAAATGTTTATTGCCAAGACCATTTCCACACTAAGAAGCATTGCTATCAAATCCCCAGTGATAAGGGCTGCGGTCAAGTTTGTTGGCTAGGAACATCAGAGTTGAATGCTACTGCTGAGCTACCTAAAATGGGTCCTCCTTGCAGCTCCAACTACCTGAAGTAATTAAAGATTTTCTCATGTTATTACAATGGCAAGCAACTGTCAGGAGGTTGGTGTTCTGGTATAGCACTGAATTCACTTCCTGTGGCACTGGCAGCCCATATGGGTGCAAGGTCAAGTCCTGGCTGCTTCACTTCCTGTCCAGCTCCCTGCTGTGTCTGGGAAAATAGTGCAAGACGACCCAAGGTCTTGAACCCTTGCATTATGTGGGAGACCTGGAAGAAGCTCTTGGCTTCTAGCTACACACCAGCTCAGCTCCAGCCATTGTATCTAGGATTCAACTAAAGGAATTCTGACATGTGATGCAGGCATTTTATTGGTTAGACCGATTTCTGTCCCTAACTGCCATTGTTAGACATAACATAAAAATTAAATCTTATCAAGATAATAATGATTTAGTTGAACTTAATTGTAACTAGAATGTTAAATTATGTAAAATTGTCAAGATCATTAGAAGCAAAACTACAGACTGGGAAAAATATTTGCAAAGTAACTTTTGATAAGAGGCTACTTGTTAAAACATGCAAAGAGCATTTTAAGTGTTACAATAAAAACATCTGATTCAAAAAAGATCAAAATATCTAGCAATTTCACTAAGTTACAGATATACCCCCATTTTTAAAATTTTAGATCTAGATTCTGAATGGAAATGGATTGAACAAAATGTTTTTAACAATGAAAGAATTCAGCAAAGAAGTTATAGTAATCAACAGGAACACAAAACCAAAAGCAACTATGCTGAAATAAGTAAGGACAGTATCAGTGTAATTGCATCATCATCATTTTTATCAAGTTCAGGGCCAATGCAGATTACAACATTCTTCTGCATTAGGGATGCATTTCTTGGGACCATAGTTTTTTTTTTTTAACAAACAAAAAACTGACATGGCTCATAGCGCTGAGGAAGGTTCAGGAACAGATGACTTCCACTGGCTAGCACAGCTCTACAAAGCTTAAACAACATACAAAACTAATGCATGTCTTCTAAGAGGGAGGAAGGAGTTCAGCTTTGTTCCAACATCTTTAAATTCCTGTTCCTCTAGGGGTTGGTGTCATGTTGTAGGAAGTTAAACCTCTGCCTGTAGTGTCAACATCCCATATGGGGTCTGGTTCAAATCCTGGCTGCTGCACTTCCAATCAGCCTTCTGCTAGCGGCCCGGGAAAGCAATGAAGGATGGCCCAAGTCTTTGAGTCCCTACATTTGTGTGGGAGACCTGGAAGAAACTCCTGGTTCCTGGCTCTGGACCAGCTCTGCTCTGGGTATTGTCATCATTAGCGGAATGAACGAGTGGATAGAAGACTCATTTTCTCTCTCTCTCTCTCTTTCTCTCTGTCTCTCATTTTCTTTGTAATTCTGCCTTTCCAATAAAAATAAGTCAATGTGTCAATATACAACATTATGGAATTAATTGACATAGTATTGATACTGAGGCCTTGTTGGGGCTTTTAACTGACCGGATCTCTACTCTGTTAGACCTATCTTCAGACCATAGAAGGTCTCTCCAAGAGGCCACTGAACTTATCTGGACAATAAGACGCTGAACTTTATGCTAGGCATGTGTTTGCAAGCAATGAATCTCAACTGAACTTGAACTATGGTTATGCAACAAGGTGGAGGAATCCACCATGGGGGCAGGGTTATGGGAGGGATGGGGGGAATCCCCAGCGCCTATAAAACTGTACTACATAATACAATGTAAGCAACAATAAAAAAAAAATAAATCAATGTTTAAAAAAATCATATTCCCCACAGAACTGAATAAATCAGCATGGTCTGATTGGCCCACCTTTTGCTAGCATAGATCTCCAAGAGTGATAGGACACATATGTAAGGATTCTTCATCAGGTAGGAAAATTCATGATATTTTTTGATTCTGTTTCCCAAAGGGCCTGATTCTGTCTGGTCTCACACAGAGCAATCTTTGAACTTGTTTGTCTCACTTAGCCAGGGAACACATAGAACAAGATATTATAGGCTCCTAAAAGTAAAACAGTCTGCAGTCTTGGAGGCTTCTAGCAGTGAAGACCCCAGAATTTTCACCTGAGTGAATTGCTTAAAGCCTTTCTCGGTAAAAGGCTGTCAGTACAGATTATCAGAGTGAACTGATTCATCAAGGACAGAAACACACATATTCAAAAAACAGAAAGAATTGGAAAACATCAAATTAAACCTATGCATTCAGATATGTAAGAAATACGTATCAATGAACTTACTTTGGAATGATTTATCTCAACTAAACCTGAACTATGGTTGTGCAACAGCGGGGAGGAGCCCACCATGGGGGGAGGGTTGAAGAGGGGTGGGGGAAATCCCAGTGCCTATATAGAACCGTGTCACATGATGCAATGTAATTAAAAAATATATATAAAAAAAATTTAAAAAAGAAATATTATTATTATTATTATTGTTATTGTTTTAATCCAGAAAAAAAAAGAATTCAATGAATTTCAAAAGAGCAAAGATATCACTGAATGAATTGGAAAAGCAAAACACAAACAAAACAAAATCATGTATAATAAATAATTGAACGTAAATTCTGAAAATGAAGACTATTGTCAAAAATTTGCTGATGGGTCACAGGAGCAGATTCGAGGAAACAAAACAATCACAGAACTAAGTTATGACTATTCATTTGAAGTTTTCCAATCAGCAGAGCAAAAGTCCTGCAAAAGATGGGATAAAGCATGAAGAAGTCAAACAGTATAACCAGATGACCCAGTGCATGCACCATTGGATTTGAAGAAGGGTATTTGAGAGATCATAAAGTAAGTTTAAAGTATTATATCCCAAAATATAAGGAAGAGTGATAAAGGAAGGAGAAAGAGTGATAATGAAATGAAACATTGATAAAGGAAGAGGGAGAGAAGGTGGGCATAGGAGAGGGAGGGAAGACAGGGTAGGAAGGATCCTTATGCCCTTAAAACTGTTTACAAAATACATGACATGCATTCCCTTAAATTCCCCTAAATCTCCCTAAAGTTGAAGAGACAATTAGGAATCTACATTAAGAAAGCTGCCTAGGTAAGAGAAAGAGAAATGAAAGACTTTTGTTACAAAATAATCAGTTGGGCCCGGCGTGGTGGTGTGGTGGCTCAGTGGTTAAGGTCCTCCCCTTGCACGCCCAGGATCCCATATGGGCGCCGGTTCTAATCCCGGCAACCCCGCTTCCCCTCCAGCTCACTGCCTGTGGCCACGGAAAGCAGTGGAGGACTTTTTCAAGACAAGAATATTGAAATGCTCTGTTTCGTGTTCACTTTGTTTTGCTACCTTTCCATTTGGATGGGAAATGTGCTCATAATGATTTCCATCACATGCACTCAGCTGATCGTCCAGCCCACGTATTTCTTCCTCAATTACCTCTCACTCTCTGACCTTTGCTACACATCCACCGTGACCCCTAAACTGATGACTGACTTTCTGGCCGAGAGGAAGACCATTTCCTACACTAACTGCATGGTGCAGCTCTTCACCACTCACTTCTTTGGCGGCATTGAGATCTTCATTCTCATGGGAATGGCCTATGACCGCTATGTGGCCATCTGTAAGCCCTTGCACTACACCGTCATCATGAGCAGGCAGAACTGTAACGCAATAATCCTGGCATGTTCTGTTGGAGGGTTTGTACACTCTACCAGTCAGTTGCTCCTCACCGTCTTCTTACCATTCTGTGGTCCCAATGAGATTGATCCCTACTTCTGTGATGTGTATCCTTTGCTGAAATTGGCCTGTTCGGATACACACACAGTAGGTGTCCTCGTCATTGTGAATTCAGGCCTGATTTCTTTGGTGACATTCGTTGTCTTGGTGTTCTCTTACTTTTTAATACTATACACCATCAGGTCTTACTTACCACGCCTATTGGTTTGCATGGGAACATCCTGGGCAATAGCGTAGCACCTTGCAGAAAGCATTGGGCCACTGGGCAAGCATTACCAGGCCAGGTCGCAGCATCTGAGAGCAAAGGCCAGCATCTGGGGGATGTTTATGCTGAGCTGGTCACTGGCACATACCAAGATCTGGGGCTGGGAACAGGCCTAGTTGGGGAGCTAAAGGGGATGCTCCAGAATTGTGTGGTTCCCTCTGGTGAGTGTAAAGAGCCAGAACGCGGGCAGCAAGCTGGCTTGACATGACTGCAATATCTCAACATGGATGTGTAATGTGTCTGAATTGTGCCAGTACCTAATGGTGTGTGTGACAGCCATGGTAGAAATAGGACAGGCTGGACTGGGTCTCAGCATCTGCTGAATTACACGATGGCTGTGTCTGGGTGTGGATCATATGTGGCTGGGCTGTAGCACCCAACAGCAAGAACTGAAATGGGTGTGGGCTGATGAGCAAGGCCACCATTCCTGCCAAGACAGGAGGTGGACTAAGTCAGACAGGACCAAGAACCCATCAGCGTGTATGAGATCTGTTAAGGCAGGAGAGGGGTTCTAGGGATGGAGACCTGAATGAGGAGTTTGGGGAACTCCTTTGCCATGATTCAGTCCCTGCAGGTGAGCACAAAAACCAAGGCTTGGAACAGCTTAGAACATGCCAGGTTAGGTTACCTCCTGACAAGCACGTGAGGTAGGTCTGGAGGCAGGCCTGCCTGAGCCAGTCCATAACACCAACAGGCAGATCTGAGAGCCAGGACAGGTTTCAAGACAGACCAGCAGCTCACGTTAGGGCTGGGCTGGGAGTTGGCTGGGCTGGGCTGGGTGGCAGCAACTGTCAATGTGAGCTGGAACTGGGGGCACACATACCCAGGACAGGTATCCGAACCCGCCAGCCAATGCTGAGATGGGGTGGGCCATGCCAGTCTGGGCAGCATCACCTACCAGCTCATGTGAAACCTGGGGAGGGGCCAGAACAAACTCTGTAGAGGAGTCGTGCTGACTTCCCTGCTGGGCCACTGCTTTTGCTGGTCAGTGTGAGAGCTTGTAGTTGGGTCAGATTGGGCTAGAAAAGGCTACAATGCCTGCTTGCCAGCATGTGAACTGTGTCAGGGGGAGAGCAAGGATGACTAACCAACTGTATCTACTGGTTCTGGCATGAGTCAGAGTTAAGTACAGGCATGCTGGAGCTTGCTGCAACATCAACTGGAAAGTGATGGGACTGAGGACAAGTCCTGTCAAGCTCAATTCCAGAAATACTTGGAAATGCAAGGTCTGGCACTAGGAGTGGGCCCAGTAGGGAAACAGTGGTCTGCAACTCCTACTGGTGAGCGTGAGAACCAGGGCTGGGTGCGGGCCTGGATAGACAGGTGGTGGCACTCACTGTCATGTGTGAGCTGAATGAGGAAATTGGTTGGGTTGAGTCAGGCTTCAGTGCCCACTGATGTAGACAGCAGCTGAATGGGATGTGGGACAGACTGGACCAGTCTACTGTGCACACTGGCAGGTGCAGAAACCATAACTGGGGGGCATATCAGGTATGGCAATTGGGAGTTGTTCTAATAGGGCCAGAGTGCCTGCTAGTGTGTGAGGCCTGAGTGTGTGGTGGGAATTTTGGGCTGGGTCACAGCATCCATTGCTTTGCATAAGAGATGGGGCTGGAGATAGATCTGATCTAGTAACTGCAACTACCAATGTGTGTGTAGGCTGATATGGGTGACAGAATGAGCTGGACCCTGGAGTGGCAGGCTGGCACAAGAGTCAGGTTTGGGATGACCTCAGACAAGATTTCATTGAGGATGCCCTGAGCGGAACCACTGAACTCAGAACTCCAACCATGGTGAGAATCCCAGGCATTCTGGTCGGTTTGTGGAGTGCATGTGTCAGAACTGAGCCTCCACAATGGCAAAGATGGAGCAGTGGGTTGCATATCCAGAAGCACATAGGGATTTACAAAGAACGTCTGGTACCATAGCAGAGGAAGGAAAGAACAAGTTGGTCAATTATCCCAGTCAAGCATTGACAGCAGGCATGTGGGTGAACGGAAACTTTAAGGTGGACTGTGCCAATAAATGAACCATGGAAAGGGTTCATCATTCTCGGATTGGAGGAAATCAGCAGCATTTCAGAAGTATCAAACCCACTGGAGCAGAACTCTCAGAGCCTTCCCCCATCAAGGACTCTGGGATGACACTGTGTGGCTGATCCCCCTTTCTGGGCACTGTGGAGGCTGGAAGGCTGGCTGTGGCTTCTCCCCTAATCTCTCACCTTCCCCCAGATGCAAGCAGATAAAAGGGAAAGGTTGGAAACAATGGTCTTGCCTACTTTCCCTTTAGTCCTTGACCTTTCCCGCCCTGCTCAACTACATAAACATCAGTTTAAAAAAATGTAAATACAGGAAAAAACATTCACTGTGAAAGTTCTACCGCAGAACATGGAACATTAAGGACTATAATTCTTTCAGTTCTTAGACACAAAATATAATATGGCTCATTGTCCACAATTACAAAATAATTTAAAAACCGTGTTGTGGTATCATGTATCATACATTTTCCAAGATGCTAAAAACAATTAAAATAGCTTCAAAATTAAAATAAATAAAACCTTTATGTGAAACCCGATGAACAGAACAGAGTGTCCACAATGTAAAAAGTAATTAATGAACTGAATTTTAGAGCTAAGAAATTAGTCAAAACACAGACCAGAGAGACAAAGACAATTGCACCTGAAGAAACATTAAGATATGGGCATGGGTAAGCATTGGGCTAGTGGTTAGGTCAGTTATGGCTTTTCATGTTACAATATCTGGGTTCAATACCTGGTTACAGCTCTAGTCTCCAGTTTCCTCCGAAGGTAAACCGCAGGAATCAGGAAATAACTCGAGTAACTGGGTTCTTGGGTTGAGTTCCTGGATCCTAACCTTCCATGGGACTACTCGAGGCTCTAGAGATCCAGCAGGCGTGACATGCCTCTCATCTTTTTCTCTATCTTTATTTATTTTATCTCTGTCTCTTTTTCTCTGAATCTTTTTCCCAATTGAAGAACTATCTTTTAAAAATGATACATATCTCTTCCTCTCTGTCTCTCCTCTTTGTATATCTGCCTTTCCAATGAAAAAATAATAAAAATAAATCTTTTAAAAAAAATGATACATATCAATGGAGTAGGAAGGAAGGAACTACATGTGTATTTCAAATTTGGGATATAAGGAATGAGGAGAAAATGCAGTGAAATGGAAATTGGCAATCTCAGAATATGTATGTGGGATTGTTAATTTTAGACTGGATTAAAAGTGCAAAAGTGTAATGCATATGAGCAAAACTGACATTTTGGGTATTTGGTTAAATTTTTAAATTTAAAAGAAAAATACAAAAGAAATACTTAGGGCCTGGTGAGATAGCAGTGGCTAAAGTCCTCATCTTGAACATTCCAGGATCGCTTTTGGGCACCAATTCTAATCCCAGTGGCCCTGCTTCCCATCCAGCTCCCTACTTGTGACCTGGGAAACAGTTGAGGACGGCCCAAAGCTTTGGGACCCTGTACCTGCGTGGGAGACCTGGAAGAGGTTACGGGCTCCTGGCTTCGGATTGGTTCAGCTGCCACCATTGTGGTCACTTGGGGTGTGAATCATTGAATGGAAGGTCTTCCTCTCTGTCTCTCCTCCTCTCTGTGTGTCTGCCTTTCCAATAAAAACAAATAAATCTTTTTTAAAAGAGAGAAATATTTAGAATTCTGGGAAATCATTATTATGAACATTTTCAAGGGAGATTAGTTTGTGAGTATGAATGGACTAAGGAGGGAAAATCCAGCATTTTATGAGTGGGCCCTCCTGCTGATTGTCTGGTTTCAGGCACAAAAAATGCAGAGACTGATGCTGCTTTTGGCTGTGAGCTGGCAAACATTTCTCTTTTGCCTTCGGCATCAGAATCCTAGGCTTGCCGGCCTTTGTCCCCAGGATTTACACCACAACTCATGCGCCAACTCTGGCTCCCAGCCTTAAACTGAGTGTTTCCTCCTTGGTTTCTCTGGTGCTGTGGGTTTGTAGTGAGCCACTCTGCTGGCGTTTCAGGATTCCCAGCCTGCTTGTTACCTGCTGTGAGACAGCTCAGCTGCCATAATCAGGTAAGCAAATTCAATGCACTTTTATGTATCTGTGTCCTACCCAATCATCTTGTCTCCATAAAAAACTGATTGAATGAAAAGTTATTGCAACAAAGACATCTTTCTAAAGAAAATACATTGAAAATAAATCATTCATTTTAGTCTATCTTGAAACACAGGGGGGACTAAAGGAAAGTGAGCTTACACCGTCAAAGGCTAGCCGCAAGGCATTTTCTTTGAATTCCGTTTTATAAGAAAGGAGAGTGATATGAGGAGTGTGCCATGCAATTACACACAAAAGGATTATTAAAAAAATGCATGATGGTTCACTACACTGACCCTTTCATTAAAAGGAGTTACAGTGTATACATTTTGTAGAAGGGAAAATGTTCCAAGAAAGAATGAGTAAAATTCATGTTGGAGTTAACCAGGAGTAATTTGATAGTCCTATCTATCAATGTAGATATTACATTTAAAAAAGCAAGCCGGGGGATGACCACTGTGGCAAAGTGGGTAAGTCACGACTTCTGATGGCCTCATCCCATCTGTGTGTGTGTATGCTTCTGTGTGTATCTAGTGCATGCTTTTATTGAATCATATGAACTGAAAGAATAACTACCACCACTGTTACACTTGTGTGGATTAACACCATGATCCTAGAGAGAAGGACTGTTTGGGTTTCATATTTAGCAATGGTATTTATTTATTTTTAATTGGAGATTGCAAATTAAAGATCATTGTTCAACTTCTAATTCGGTTTTAACTATGGAGAGGGACTTTGGGGGAAAGCGTTTCCCCAAGGTCATTACTGTTTCATGTCATTCTCTTTAAATAGACCTTGTGTGAAGTTAAGAAACAGCTTTTATTGTTGAAGGGTCAGTGGATTATAAGCTTAGTAAGTGAGAAAATCAGGAATAA